AAAATGAAGCATTATTAACATAATAATATAAAAAACCAAAAAAATTACATTTTATCTTTTAATTTGTCTAAATATGCAAACATTTTGGTTTTTTTTAAAACCCAGAAGCTTTGTAAATGTATAGTGTCCGTGCCGCATGGGGGAACTCTAAATATGCGGCTAACCGAAAGTCCTCTCGAGAGGTTAGTGGTAGGGGAACAGGGGTACGAGACGGTCGGACCTGTCCTTCCCAGAGTGCTCTTCATCAAAATCGGGGGCGAAACTGAGCTAAATCGCAGTGTCACCTGCAAGGTGCTCAAGGCTGTTGCAAATGACAGGCGTATCTTGAGCTCCTTGCCATGAGGAATTTCGTGGGCTTGAGCTGACTGTACGTCAGACAAGTCAGCATTAGTCAACAAGAACATGTTATACAAGAGAAGCGAAATAATATACTAAACGTGTTGGATACCAAATATATGGCTGAACATTAGTTATTACTTTAAAATTAAAAACAATTTAATATACATACCTAATAAGTTTGCACTGAGTAAATTGCTGTTCGCAGCGCAATTTACGACAAGGTTCAAACTGTGATTACCAAGAGCACAAAAGATGCACTAGGGCTGATATTTAGGAATATATCCAAAATTCTTTTCTACACACCGCTATGTTGTCGACAACGATGTAGCTTAGAGTTTCAACCGGCGATGCTACATTTCCTCCAGAACTGTGCAAAAACTGCAGTTCATGCATAAGAGCTATACTATTTACTTTATCAGTTTGATTTTTATTAGTTAATGCTTTTTGCAGTTTTCGACATAAGTTGAGCTGACCTTGTAAATATATATGTGAACGAAAATACGCGATGCCAATGCGTATGTAAGGGTAAACGTCGGTGCCGTAGACACGTTCGACAAATTGCTTAATCCTTATTTTGTGTCTACTTTTGCAACCGTAGTAATTTTTGCACCATTTATCTTTTTTCTGATTTTTTTTTGTGATTGCTTGCTTTTATTGTTATTCTAATTAGAAAAATGTAAGTGCAGTTACATATTATGTTAAATTTAGGTTAGCTTTTTAATTCAGAAAAGCGATGATTTGAGCATAGTTACTCGAAATTACTTTATAATACTTATTTTCAACTTTTATTTTAATTCCACTTTTTCTGTTTTGATTTTTCCTCAGATGTAGAAAGAAAAACAGGAAAAACTATCTGGGTATCAGAATTTAATGAAGAAAACGAAAGGAAGAGGAAGACTTAACCAAAATTTTAAAATTACTCAGTTTTTGAAAAGCCCAGAGAATGCCCAAGCTGACGCCACTAGCACTAGTTGTCCATCAACGTGTTAGCTACCATTGAAATTATCAAAAGAACCTAATAATCAGAAAGAATTAAAGTGTTTTCACCTGGAAATTATCTTTAACTTCGATATAATACGATACTTCGATTCGAAACTTCGATAACAGCCGTCCGAAAAAACAAAAGAAATACTAGTGAAATCTACAATTTCTGCAGTAGATATGCATTTGCCTGTGCTTGATGATTTCGGACTATGCCCAGGTGCATTATTGAAATCCCAAGTTCAAGCCTTAATAGAAAATGGTCTTGGGTATTATGAAAAACCTGGTTTCCAATTTCAGTTTTCCAAAAGACAAAAATGGGCGTAAATGTTTTTAGATGTACTTTTGTCAAATCTTGCCAAACAACGGAAAACTTAAAAGCGATTGGTTGCTAAATTGTGCTGAAAATAATTCTGTTTATTGTTTCTGTTGCAAAATTTTTAACAGTTTCAGCGACGTAAAACTGTGTAGTTTTGAATTTAACGACTGGAACCACTTAAATGAACACTTAAAACTTCATGAAAAAAATAAAACTCATTTCCGGAATCTGCATCTTTGGTCCGATTTCTTAAAACGATTAAAGAATAAACCTGTTGATTCAGAATTTCAAAATTTATTAAAAAAAGTGACTAAGCATTGGTGCGATGTTATTGAAAGAATTATTTATGCCCTTCAGTTTCTAGCCAAACAAAACTTAGCCTTCCTTGGTTCCAGTAACGAATTATTCGAAAGAAATAATAATTTTTAAAGCGTATAGGAATGATCACAAAATCTGACGCTATCATGTCTGTATATACTAATAAAATTAAAACTAAAAAAAATATGCCTCATTAATTTGGAAATAAAATTCAAAATGAAACAATTAGCTTATCAGGGAAAAATATAAAGCAAAGTATTTTAAATAAGGTCAAACATGTAAAGTACTTTTTTATTTTACTTGATTGTGCCTCTGATGTGATTTCCATCAAGAGCAGATATCAATTTGTATGCGGTATAATAATTTAGAAAATACAGACATGAGTATTGAAGAAAGGTTTTAGTATTTTGGTGTTACAACACATACGGCCGGTGACGGACGAACAATATTCTCATTAAAGACTTTAGAAGAAAATGGTTTAGATATTAGTAATTTACGCGGCCAAGAATACAACAATGGTTCAAACATGGGAGGTAAGCAGTTTTTGAGTAATTATGCTGATATCGTTGCTTTTCCGATTAAAAACGTTAACCTAAGTTTAACATAATATGTAACTGCACTTACCTTTTGTATGCAGAATAACAGAAACAACAAGTAATTAGAAAATATAAATGTTGCACAAATTACTACGATTGCAACAGTAGACACAAAATAAGGATAAAGCAATTTGTCGAATGCGTCTACACTTACATACGCATCGGCATCAAGTATTTTCACGTTCAAATAAGACAGAAGAGAACAGCAGAGACGAACTCCTGCCCTGGTTATAACTTTCCGTCAAATAAGACAGTGTGTTAGGAGGAAGGGACACTTAGACCTGGCAGGCTCGAGGCTGCCTTAACACAGTTAAACGTCCCAGTCCCTAGAGGAGCGGCCATCAACAGGGGGCCCCCAATTACGGACAGCAGAACGAAGTTCCTTAAACACTGTTAGACAGACCGAACCACCAATCCGGCCTGCTAACATTACTTCATGCTATATAGACATCGGCTTTAGGCGCGCCCAGGCAGAAACCAGGAAAGAATATGAATATGGAGTTTTGAGGCTCTAGTCGCCGCACTGGATACCTCAAGCACTTTAAAGGCTCGCTGAATTCGTCTACACCGATAGGGTGTTTTGCCCCGGACTACCATCAATATCTGACTATATAGCTCCACCACAAACGATGGAACGGACAAAACAGTACCATATGGTCCCTGCCGAGCCTGAAACAGCCATTGCCAGCGATGACTCCAGTCCTGTGGAAACTCATTTTAAACACTCGTGGCCGAGATTGCCTAGGTACTGATCCTAATGAGTAGCTTCCCAGGTTTTACCTGAGTCGAACCCCCGAAGGGCGTTCAAATGCGACAGGAGGCAGGAGACCACTGGGTGAGCAGCTGTGCCGCCATGCAGAATTTTAGCTTTATTGCTCACTCAGTGGGACAATGTTTATTTAAATTTTATAATCTATACAATATATGAAATTTGGATATATACATTATATCACTCTACATAAATATATGTAGAGTGATATAATGTGATATAATTAATAAAGTTATGAAAAAAATTTGATATATATATACATAAAAATTAATTAAATCTAATTTGAAAGTTCTTTAATAGCTGCGGAAATGAATGTAGAGATTTTATAAGTGTTTATAAACAGTTTATAGGAATCTGAATTCATCAAGATATTAAGTATATAAGTTCAAAGTTCTTAGAAGCTTATATAGTTATTTAAAAGGCATAAAAGTTCACAGGCTCCTTTTTGATATCTTGAGTATCAATAAGACAAGACAAAAACACTTTCAAATAAGACCAGAATTTTCTTGTTCAGAGAGGCAGCGAGATGGAACTGCTTGTTTTAATGATCGCCCAGCGCCTTTTTGACCCTGCACCTATTGTCGGCGCGGGCCTGTCCCTACATAAACTTTACTAAAACGGAAGCTGCATTTCCAGACCTGTGTATATTGAAATTTACAGCAGTGAAACATAATTTGAGATATTCCTTGTCTGAGTGGGAGTCAATATGAACTGCAAGGTAGGTATTTAAAAAAAAAAAAAAAAAAAAAAAAAAAAAAAATATTAAGCTCTCTCAAGCAAGATGTCCAATTTTTAATTTTTTTCATCAGTCGCTGATTTTTTTATTATGATGATGAAAGTTATACTGCTAGATTTGTTACTTAATTCGTTCGAAAAGAGATTCAATTGTTGCGTTCCTGTTAAATTTTAAAGAGGCTAAAGAACCCCGGAGAAAGAAAGTGTATGGGAGAGGCAGGGAGGACTTAAAGTTGATTACCGGCCGAAAGTGGAAAGAATGAAATAAGAATTTCCACAATCTTCAAAGATCCAGAAGAATAAGAATTTTATTGCAAATGAAACATCAAAGTTGAAGTCTATTTTCACCCTGCTTTTGCTTCCGTAGAAAATGCAGCAAATGTAACAGCAAATTGAAAATGACTGCAGCTTTAAACGACTTTCATAGAAGAAGGAAAAATGATATCGCAGAAATAAACATCTACGGGAAACTAACAGAAAGAAAATACAGAATGTCATTCAATGGGAAGACTGAGAATATAGAGAAAGAAATGATAAAAAAAAAAACGTTGCTTACCTGCATGAGAATTTTCGTTAGCATAATAAGTATAAAAAAACAAGGTGAACAAAATATTATTCAATCAACAGGAGATATACACAAGGAAAAAAAATAAAAATTAATATCTTGTTTATTTTTCTTTACTCTTCACTTTTGGCACCGTGCTCCTTAGAACGTAGCAGTTATTAGCACGTTTAAGGAAGTTGCTTTTTTAATTTTTAAGTTTCATTTGGCTTATTTATTCTAGCAAATATGCATATATGTACATGCACAAGCTAAGAGTAGAGAATTCAGAATCGAAAGTACGACTGTGTGAAGAATTCATTGCAAAGGATTAATTACGCATTGCGCTGAAAATAATTTAAACATAAAAAATATTTTTGAATTCTATGAATTTCTACTCACCTCCATTGTTTGTGAATGGTTCATGGATTTTATAGCATTGATGGCACATTGCCTGGTGGCGTAGGTTACAAAAGCACAACCTGCAAGGGAAAAAATGAGTTATTGTCTCCAACTCATACAGATATTGTACATATCACTTTATAAATCTTAACAGCATTCTTGAAAAAAATGTTTGTGTACAAATTTTTACCAAGTTATATGGCTTTATTCATCGAATAGTTTTCGTTCCCACCTTCATTTCTGGTTTTTCGATAGCTCAGTAACTAAAAACAAGTTCTAGTATTTTAGAGTTAAGGCGCAAAAATGGTTTCTATCCCGATACTGAAAATTTCGTGTGCAAGGTTCAAACTAAAACACTCGGACTAACAAAAGGCCATGGCCAGTTCCTAGCTGTTATACCTTTTTACTGTTGGTCCTAATATCACGAAACTGTGTTTTAGGGTCCTAATATCACGAAACTGTGTTTTAGTATTTAATAAGCATTTCAACATAATACTCGACACAATGAATTGGTGTCTGAGTTCATTAAAAAATACAGCGGATTATTTTTATTTTTCATATGTACATCTTTATGTAATCCGTTTAATAGGTAATTTGGATGTTAAAAATGACTCTCATGTAAAACATGTTTTACAAATTTTTTAAAAATTTGTGCTTGAATAAAAAAAAATTCACTAGTGATCAAACTTGTATTTCACGTAGTTTAAGCATTTTGTTTCGTTTAGTAGTCACCTAAGGACAGGGCTTAATTTCTAAAATTAGAAGTGCCGAAGCCCTATGAAAGACCGTCAGCAAAGAAGAACAAAGTAAATAAATAAATAAAATGACTATTAAAATCATTAATAATTTTAAAATTAAATAGTTAATTACTTAATTAATATTAATAATAATATTTATCAATTATTTAATTAATGAAATTTAATAAACAAATAATTTAAATAATATTTAAATAAATAAATAAATAAAAAAGATTAAAATAATTACATAATTAAAATTAAATAAATGTAAAGAGATAAACTACAAATTAATGTAATTTTATTCAAAAAATAAAATTTTCGAAATCAAATTTCTACTAAAATTGTTGTTTAGTTACATGCATTCTTATTTAGGGCTCCGGTGCGCTCCGGCTAGAATTATGATTTATCCTAAAAACTAAGAAGTACAGGAGCAGAGCTCCGGTGGGCTCCGCCGCAATTTAAGCTCTGCTTGGGGATCTAATTAATATGCAATGGGCTTCCAGACAGGCCGTAGAAGACGAGTAAATTATTTATTAAGTCCATGTGATTGTCACAGCACACACACACATTTTATACGTTTTTCGGCTGGATGTGGAATGATTCGTAGTTCTTCAGCGGAAATTATGTAACTTTTTGTTTTTTAAAAACTCGCCTGTTATTCTTAAGTAGTGTGGCTGCGTTTTTTGGAATTGAAAAAAGTTGAAGGAGATATAACTCCTACCATCTTGCGGCTTGCTGGAACTATTTATTTTAACTGATTTGATAATATTATAGAAAAATAACTAGCATCAATTGAAAAAAATTTCGAAGAGTGGCGCCTATAAAAGATAGTTATAAAAGATAGCGCCTATAAAAGATAGCTCCAAAACAACTTTGTAAATAATTCTTTTACATTTTCAGATTTACATTTATTTCATATAACATTCTTTTACAGTATATTTTATGGTTACAAAATACAGTTTTATGTATAAATAAATCGAGAAATCATTACGAATGTTGTTTAATATAAGATTGTTCCTTGACAAAATTCAGCAGATGCTCAAATTCAGTCTTATTCCCAGCATTCAGGCTTTTAGAATCAAATTTAATTTTCAAAATTGAAATTTTCAGAATAAAATATAAAGAAATAAAGTAGTAAATAATTGATAATTAAAACTAAAATAAAGTATAAAGAAAAATTAATAAATTAAGTTAAAAATTAAAAAATTAAGTTAAATACATAAATTATTAAAATTAAATAATAAATAAAAATATCAGAAATCGCCTTACGTGGAGCTCTGAATTAAGTTATGATTTTACTCAAAAATTTAGATGTGCGGAGCTGGGTTCCAGCTGAAATTGAGCCCTGTTCATAATAATAATAGTAATCATTTAAGTTGTTAACAACATTCCTTTATGATCTTATTTAATAGCCCCTACATGTGATTCATATCTATGAAATAAGAAACAGAATCTGCTCAAATTACCCTCACTTTAAGCCCGATAGCTGAGTTGCAGACTGAAAAGCGATTGAGTTTAATCAAAATGAGAAATAATATTCTAGCAGCAAAAGAGATTATTTTGAAATGTTTCAAACATTTTGAGTAATGAACGATGAATAAAATAATACATAATCTTATGCAGCACAACTAAGTTTTTCGAATTAAAAAGTAGACTTTTTATAAAAAGTTTCATGTAGATCGCTGCTCCAAGTATAAACACAACAATCCTGAAGAAGAACATTTAGATGTATCTTTAAATTAATGTAAAACTTTTAATTTCGTTAGAAAATCATCTACATCTAGCTCGTCCGGAGCTCTGAAATCTTTCACTTCACATTCTTTAGTAAGTTAAACTAGGCCGAAATTCTAAACATATCTTTTAATAATGTCATAAAATTAACATTTACCTTGACTTGATCTTGTTTAAATTTTTGCGTTTTACTTATAAATTTATCTCAATCATATTTTCTTGTGGCTTTCTCTCCTACCTTTAATATTCTTTTAATAAAATGAACTATTTCATTCTCAGATGAAATGAGTATTTAGCTGTATGAAGTATATAAATCTCAGTTTGACATGATTTATAGGATATTAAACATAAGCGCAAGACATTGATGATCTCCATAATATCTGAAGATTCCTTGTTGGGGCATATATAGACAATATTTCACATCAACAGAATTCTGAAAACAAGGCAAATGAAAATATAAACATGGAAAATCAAACTTCGCCGAAATCATATAATCTTCCCTATGAAGCCTTACAAGAAACTTACTTAATCAGAGAGAAGTTTTATTTTTCAAGCAAAGCTACTATTTTCCTACAAGACCATTCCTACATATCTCATACACAAAACTCGGCCCTCTTTTTTTTTTTTTTTTTCTTTTTAAGATCCGCAACTGGCGTAGAAACAGCGCCATTTTTAAAACCCAAATTTTCGTACTCCCGTAAGACAAGTAGTGCCATCTGTTATCGCCGCTGGAAAGCTCTTTTACTAGGCTACTAGTTGCTTAAAACTTGAAGGCAACATTCTAATCAGTTCTTCACGTTTCTTTTTAATGTTTACTAAATGCTGGTACTTACAACATTAACTTTACAGGCAGATAGGACACAGGGAAGCTTAAATAAGATAACAACTGAAAACATTTTATTTTTTTTATTCGCTGATATATTTTACGACCATTTCTATCATACTCTTAGTTAAAATTTACACACTTATTTTAATGCATCAAACAGAGGTTAACCAATCGACAATTAACGTAAAATAATTAGAAACATAACAACATAAAATAGCTTTATAATGCTTTACAACTTCACTGACCATTAACAAATGCATTTCCCGGTGAATCACTAATTTAAATAAATTAAACACGCATGGGGGTAGGTTAATTTAAGCACAGTACTTTTAGGCGAGGAAACGAAAAGCGGATAGATACAAGATGTTACCGACAGAAAAGAACTATAAAAACTTGTGCGTGTTCTAACACGTATTAATGAAGCCGCCCCAATTCCATTAAAGCATGTAAAGACATTATCTTATTCTTGTCCACTAATAGTTTGAAAACAAATTCAAACTATTAGTGAACAAGAATAAGGGAATATCTTAACGTGCTTTAATGGAACTGGGAACTCTTCGGCTAAAAAGTACATAATAGCAATTTGTCTTATCCGAAACAGTCAATTTTTAAGCCGTCTAATTGCTCACCGTTAGTCAAAGAGGGATAAGACGTAGCTTTCAGTAAATTATTTATCTTGACAATTACGAAGTCGCAAAGCAAATTTGTTATTTAAGAAAAATTTGTAACATTTCGATTTCCTAAACAATACAACATGCTGGAATTTTCTTCTCTCCCTTTAAATGGAGCATTTAATATATAACACATATTTAATACAAAATAAAAACAATGTTTAAAAAAATTTTGCACGACTTAAATAGAGCTTTAATACTTAATTGTAGATCTATTGTTCAGTTCAGGATATGGATCAAATAAAGTAAACTTTCAAACTACGCAAATATGGTCATATGATAACTTTTAGTAATATTATATGAAATTTAAATTTTAAGCAGGCCCGTTTTTCGGGGGCCTTGTCAATAGTAAAGATATTTTCTATCGTAGAAAGAATCATGGAAAAAATTCTTAACCATGATAAAAATCATTCTACGTCATTATTATAAAATTTTGGGGGACCGTATACAAGTACTATTAAAATCAGCAGTGGCTGTTAAGTGTCAAGATACACATTTCTAAAAGATATAGGTACAAAAACATTAACTAAGTTACCATTTGAAGAAACTCTAAAATTTGAAATTTTGGATTTAACGGAATTCAGTTTTATACGAATCCTACTATCGAAACTGCTTCTTCATTGAGTTTATATAATAATGAATTTTACCATTCTTCACTGTGCGCCTTCGTAGTGTGAGAGGTAGCACGTCCGTTTAGCAATCAAAACATCCGGAGTTCGAGTTCTGACAATTTCTTTCGGAGACAGTTTTATATATTAGAGATTATTCTTCTTTACCAATCTCCTAACAGAATTTTAAGTGAAATTTGGAACAAATTACTAAAAACTTTCTCCGTAGAAGGCCCTTATACAAATTTAATTTCTTACATTTCTATTCATTGTTTTGCTACAAGGTGATGTATGGCCAAAATTGCTACAGTTTGGTAACCTGTTTATTTAATTTAAAATTCTATTTATTAACTGGAACTACAAGAACCTAACAGGTTCCAGTTTCCTTAATTTAAACTGAAACCACAAGAAATACGGTTAAGAGTTCAGTTACTGAACAATCATTTCGAAACACTGCGCATGAGTAACAGAATTGTGGATTCAAAGTATTCTGATTTCAAATAGTAT